GAGGACAGGATTGGCAGGGAGGGGGAGCTTAGAAGGGCCTTCTCCCAAGAGAATCAGAGCTGGCTGAAGAAGGCCTAGAATTAAGAGCCACCTTGGCCCACCAGTCTGTGGTCCTGAGCAGAGCCAGGCTTTGGTAATACCAGACCTGAATAGCTACTTACTTTGGTCTACAGTTACTCAGAAAGTGACTGGGTTCAAGCATCACAAACAATTCAGATATTTTTTTCTCTGTTAGCACCACTGTGATATATTACCATGGCTTGTTTTGGGCCCAGAAACCAATCAAGAAACAATGGTCTGTTCCATGGATCTAGTTAGCATAATTGTCTGTCATGACATCTGGACTCAGGAGTCATTTTTTTGTTCATGCTGAGAAAAAACCATACTGTAGAAAGAGTGGCACGCGAAGGGTTGCACCAGGCATCCAATCTCTACTACTCACAGCCTCCCAGCACATGTACATCATTGCTTGCTTTGTTCCTGTTGGCTGAGTGCTGTGAAACTTACGGCAGCAGAGAGATAACGGGGAAATCACAGCAAAAGTGTTTATTACAATGTAAAAAAAAGGCAATGGAATTTGATTCCCAGATTGGTCTTGAAACACAGGATATAGATTCCTGAGAAAGAAAGTCCAGCAGCTTCCTCATCAATGTTGGAGGCTCTTGAGGTATATTAGGACAAACCTTGGGCAGTCAAGCTCCTTTCTATAAAACCAGGTAGTTTTGAACTTAGACAGTATTCAGTGATGTAACAGTTACAAGATGCCAAGGTGGATCTTAATTTGAAAAAGAGATTGTTTCCTACTTATTGGTCTCCTCTGTTTAGTCCATGGAACTGGTGTTGGAAGACGGTTTCAGCTGCTTCTCCCAGGGGAGGCAATGACACACAGAAACTCAGTAGCTTGGTTCCTATGGCAGAGGAATGGGACTGTCAGCACCACCAGAGAGAAGCTTGCAAGCTTAAAAACATTAAGGTATTTATTAAGGAAAATGTTTACATTAGGGAATAAAGTGTTGCTTTTCAAAATGCAGGATGAGATTTAATTGTATAGTTCCTAGGTTAAATATGCTTACAGATCTCAGTATGCAAGAGTCTTTATCAGCTCAATAAGCTATCAATAGTTTTTCCTCAGAGCAGAATCCCCCAACCTTTACTCAAGCTGTTCACTCACAACCAAGAGCATATGCCATACATCAGTCTCTCTCTGCCTCAGGTTCTTTCGACTGCTTCTGGCTTCTAGGAAGATTCCCATTTTTCAAGGACTGCTTCTTTATTTAATGCATTTATCTATCAAATATCAACTTGGTAGATGGCTTCATGCTGATTTACAAAAATACAACAGCACCCTCTGGTAAAACTCTTCTCACACTCTTCTCTGCTGTCAACAACCAACGAATTTAAGCCATCCTTTTAGAAAAATCACTCGGCCAGGCCCTGTGGCCAAGCATGTCCTCACCTCAGGCATGTCCCTTACCTGCCAGTCTTCTCTCAGTGGCAATTCAGGGGCTCTTTATGGACTGTCTAAACACGACTCCAATGACCAATGTTTTTCTAGCCACCTGGTACCTACAGAAACAAAGGCAGCTTCTTCCTCTCAGCCTCCCTCCCATAGCAACAGTAACTAAGGCCGTCAGAACTGCCTTGTGCCCAAAACACCACAGAAAAGCCAGTTTTGGGGCCTATCTTGGTTACATCATAACCTAGTCTGTTATGTACAGAAAAGAAACCTTTCAGAAGAAATGGAGAGAAATCCACATTTCTTCACTGGCTATTTCTTCACACATGACACAAGGCAGCAGCCTAAGAGGCCTCTCTTTTTCCTACCTGTTCTGGCTATTGATGGAAGCAGAGGCAGTGTAAGGTGCAGCCCACCAGGCTGGAGCCCTGTCTCTTTCATTTGGAGCCCCAGATCCTTGGGGGGGGGGTATGTGCACTCCTCAGCACCCTGCTGTCCACAAGGACTTGATAAAGTCCCTCAGGGTGTTGACCACATTCAGACAGTCAACAAGGGTATCACAAACATGTTTCTCCCCCTCGTCTTCTTTTCTAGCAGAAAAAAATGAAAAGCCTTTAAAATACAGTCCTTTATTGGCACTTACAAGGTTTCGCTGTGTTATGGGGTATACATTAACAGGTAGCGTAAATTAAAGTAAGGATCCCTCTGATTTAGGGTGTGGCTACATACTGGCATTCAGCTGAAGAGTAAGGCTGCCCTCATCTTCACTTGTGCCCTCCTACTAGCTAGCGGGTGTAAGACTGCTGAGGAGTGCTTTCCTTTCATTATTGCAAAGGGAGCTTGCTGTGGGCCAGTGACCAGAAGGTCACTGCTAAATTAATTACTGCCAGCAAAATAATAATTAATTGCTAAAATTAATTATTGCTGCAAAAGTGGTTGCTACTATTTTTCCATTTTTAGATTCATGGAGAGTTGCCGAGTTGAAACTGAACAAGCATTAGATACTATGCTAGCCTGCAAAGATACAAGGAGCCATTTTGTTGGGGCTCACCAGAGAAGTAGGCTGTAAAACCACCACAAATGGTTAATTGTTGGCATGCTGCATGTAACTTTAGGTTTTGGAAACTGCTTTCTAAAAACAGAACTAAATCAAACCTAGCATTCTGATACTGCATGCAGCACTCTTCAATGCCAAATATTAATCCTGGCTGCTAGAACTCAGTAATTTTACTTATTTACATATATTTATTTTAGTAATTGACAAACTGAAAAGCAGAAATGCACCCAAATAACTGCACTGCACATACTATTTTGGTCCAACTTGAAAAATTCAGTGTCCCTCTTCTCATAGGCAACAGCAGCTTATACAACAAACATTAAGTTACAGTATCCTCACTGGTTGACATTGTATGGCTTAATGCCCTCCACTTCAGAGAAATTGTTCTTAAACTATCTATGTGTAGGCACTGTTTAACTGTATAGATTCAAATCTATTTTGTGCTTTTCTGTCAAAACCTCTGTATCAGTTCCATGCTGTCAAAGGTTACAGCATTTCAGAATATTATTAGCAGCACTTGAAATACTTCCTGACTTATTTTCTGAAATTACTGTCACCATACAAAAGGTATTGCTTCTGTATTTACATCTGATTAGGAAAAAGCAGTGGGGAAAGGTGGACATGTGAGAAAGGCGGGGACATTTACTGAAAATGGTAGAGGCAATACTAAAAAGCTAGAGGATCGCACTCCAGGAGAAATGAACTTGCCATCCTTTTTAGGAAGACAAAATTTCCTTGCAGTTTCACTTTTCTCTTGACAACTTTCAACTGAAAAAGCAAAGTAAATTGACCCATTTCCAACTTTTCTTTGTCAATGTCCACTGATATTGACTCTGGCACTTCAACAGGAGACATTTACCAGAATGTTGACCAGGCACAACTTTCCATTTTGGCTAGTCAGAAGTGCGCACTTGTGCTCCTGAAAAAACAACCAAAAAGTAATACAACTATGAAACCATTTTTGCACATTTCCAGCATCTAAAAACCTAATTTTGGGAGCTGGTGAACTACTGTTGAACATGTCAATGTGCTACTTGGGCACTCTGGAGGAGCTGTCCCTTGCTTATATTGCAAAAAGGATCTGAACCAAAATAAAAGCGGGAGGAGCAGTGCCAGAGACCAAACAGGGGTCACAATCACAGCAGGAAGAGGAGACAAGGCAGGTTCAACTCCCAAGTCTCCTGGGATTCTGGCAGAGGACCAAGAAAGGAGGAGAGAACTCAAGGTGAGCCTGATTATGTCAGGTGCACTGTGGGGTTGCTCTATGACCAGTTACACACTGTGCAGCATTGGAAGGGTTGGCTGTCCTGCCATGTGAATGCAGCCATCCTCCTCCATCAGCAGGAGTGTTCCTGCAAGTTTCTTTCCTCAGGACTGCTTATCTTTCTCCAGATATGTTGCATACATCTTTCCAATGCTTTTGTTTTGCAGTATTTTAAAACAGAGGAAAGGTTTTTGGAGAAAGATAAGCTCCCCGCCCCAGGAAGGATAATCCTTTTGGAAACACATAGGACATAATAGAAAAGGTTTTTTCCACAGTCACCTGAAAGTGTCTTTTGCTTTGGGACCCATGGGTGCCTTCCATTCTTGGTGTTTCCCAGAGGGGACAATTTTTGCCATTTCCCAGAGACTCCTAAAATTTTGCTTGCTGGGGAATTTTTGAAATAGCATGGGGTTAATGCAAAGAGTTGCAGAGGGGGAAACCTGTGAATATCACCTTTCCATTTTTCCTCCAGTAGAAACCTCTTCTAGATTGATGGCCCGTCCATGGACAGAAGGGGTTCTCCTGTTCATAGAAGAGAACTTTAGATCTAACAGACTGATATCAGGTAAATATACTCAAGACAGCAACCTTATATTTAGGGTCCATTAACCCTATCTCTAAGATAGCAGCTGCTTAAAAGAAAGCCCAAAACAAAACCCAGCACTGTATATGCAATTCTGGTGCAAGATGGTTGAGAATTTAGAAAATGACTCTTAGTTTTCAGAAACAAAGCTCATCCAGGGAGCTTTAACTGTGTAATAACATGATTTAGCAACAAACTTTGTTTAGTATAGTATGGTAAGTGGGACCAAAGCAGCTCTAGCTAGCTGTGCTTTCCAAGCAGTGGATTCTACCTCTCACATCTGTTTCCCATTTTTCTTTTGCAACTGTCATGGCGACTCCTCAGTTTTCACCAGGATGTTTTTTCCTATCCCTTTTTTTAACATCTGTACTTCTGGCAAGTTCAGGGCTCCCCCATACTGAAACCTCCCTCAGGCTTCTCAATGGGTACATTTTGGCTACAATCCCTTTAGAACGCATGACCCAAACTCACTATGAGAAGGAATGGTGATACAGAAGAAAATACCACATTCAAAATTACTTGTCTTTTAGTAGAAAAGATGACTGAATGTAACATTGCCGTATTCAAAGAATGAAAGAGTTTGAGAGAAAGGAGGCTTGGAAAATAAATCAAGGAAATCAACACAGTCTCTGCCACATGCTTGTGGGGCTAGCAAACTTTTATTAAAATCTAGATCAACTGCTTTTTCTTTTAAAAGACAGAGGTGATGTTGAAATAAAGCATTTCAGCAATTGTTCCAAAGTAGCATAAATGAGAACCCATGGTACCTCAGAACAAACCTAAAAGAATGAATGCTTTTTCCAAGTTGTTTAAGTACAATACAATACATTTTAAAATGCTAATACTTCTCTATTAGTGGTTTTAGAATATATAAATGTTGCAGGAAAAATTCAACTTACACAGTCATGAAAGTGTTAGGCAAATAATCACAATCTAGGACCCTGGCTACAACAATCAAAAGCTTGCCATGCCCCTGCTGAGCATAGCAGTCATTTTTTCTTGGCAGATGTGATTTTATCTGCTCCAACTGCATTCAAGGCCCAGGTAGAGCAAGCTGCAGCAGAAGACTGTCTATGCCAGAGAAGGGCCTGCTGGGATGAGGGACTTATTACAGAACAGCAGAAGACAGGGTCACACTGGCACTTATTAAAAGGATGCTTTCAGGGGTGAGGAGGGCACAATAAAGTACTGGCTAGTTAAGCAGCCACCTGAGCCTTCCTGCTAGAGCCAAGGTGGCCACTACATGCTGTCATTTTTTTCACTTACACCTCTTGTTCTATTAACAGTCTCAAAGGTGGCATAGGCTGTAATTATTTGTCATCACTTCATACCACACATCTGCAGTGTCAAATATTTGCTAACACTTACTCGACACTGATTTGAAGGGTGCCTTTATTTAGCAACGTGCAAAGGATGATGACACTGTTTTATAAAAGGTTATAATGTTATGGAAAATGGCACGATTTGTTGTTTGTGTACTTCAACTTGCATCCCATTAAAGAAAAGCAATAAACTGATTATTCTATATTTAAAAAATACAGATACCAATACAAGGACACTGCTTTCAACAGAAAAACAAAGAGGAGACACCATGTTTCACTGAGCATTTATGTACATATATTATCTAAAAACCAAACAAGAAAATAATCTTGACATGGCAGCAGGGGGAGGGGGACTTCTTTAAGAAAGCACAGTTTTCATTCATTTTCATATCTGCTGTATGGATGGTCAGAATCCTGAAGAAGACCTGGAAAAAACACAAGACAATATTAAAGTATATATTTAGGAAAACATTATTTTCAGCCTAGCAGTTTATAGTCTATATGACTAAAATCCAGGGAACCAGCTAAGACCTGCTTTAGAATAGGTCATCCATTATGCTACACCAGCAAAGATGGTCAAAGCAGTCCATCACATTACAATTGCAAACAGAATGAATATCTCATGACTAATACCTGAAGGTACTGATCATCTGGAATGGGCAGTAAATCCCGCTGTAGGAATTTCATCACATGTGTGCATGCACACATAATTTGTGCTATCACAATATTGCTACTAGACAATATGGTGAGCAGCGTCCAGTCAAAGTAAGGTGACAAAGGTCCAATTCCTCGTGAAATGCAGGTCAGTTTACAGATCACTAAAGCAGAAAATTGACATCCATAGTATTTAATTAAAAAAGCACTAAACCAAATTGTCAATTAAAGCCAGGAAGTTATCCAACCACCTTTCAAGTTGACCTAGGGTATGAATCATTTACATTGATCAAGACATCCAATCTAGGCATTAGTGCCCCCATCCCAACACAAAGAAGATTCACCATGGACATTTTAACCTTATTATTCACCAGTTAAGTGGGTCATTGAGATTGGCATGTAGTACAACACCAGGCAGCAATTTGCAGCATCAAAGGACAAGCAAAACAGTATCAATGTTTTGACACTGATCAGTCAAAACAGTATCAATGCATTTTAAAGGACAACACAGGGGGTGTGTCATCATGAGGGAACCTGTGTTGAACTAGAATGTCCTATCAAGTTGTTTCCAGGACAAGCAATATTAACTAGTAAAGGTAGACAGGATGGGGAGAAGGGAGTCAAGAAATGTTAAAATACTGAACCACAAAAGATAACTTCAGTGGACAGTAAACATGATTTTCATAATCAGATGCAAAAGACAATACAACAGTATGATGGACAGGCAAGTGTGCCAACGCTATAAAGAGAGCCAGTGAGGTGTGGTAGAGTGTTGAACTGAGGACCTGGAAGATCCAGGTTTTAGACCACACTTGACCATGAAGCTCACAAGGTGACGTTGGGCCAGTCCCATACCCACAGCCTAACCTACCTCACAGGATTGTTATTGTGAGAATAAAAACCAGAGTGGAGGTGGGCAGTGTAAGCCACCCTGGGTTCCTCACAAGGGCAAACAACAAAACAAAACAAAACAAAACAAAACAGGAGGTAGAGACACTGTAACAACAACAATGGCAATAAAAGCAAAAGGCTTCACAGGATATCAGTTGGTCTTTGTTAATTCACCAAACAGCCATGATACATACAAACAAACAAACAGACAACAATGGCAGAATCAGCAACTGCTGATATCCAAGGATATCAGTTGAAAGATATCAAAATTCAAGCAGAAGAGTTTTTCAAGATGCACTTAGGTATAACATCACTCATTGGGGACAGTGACCAGAGCAGTCAATATTTTTATTTTTTATTTATTAAAACATTTTTATGCTGCCCCATTCGCCGAAGCCTCGGGGCGGCTTACAACACGTGCCTCATGCCATTATGCCAAATCATTTGAGATATGCCCAAATAAACAAGCTAGCACACATATTTTACCAGATATTAAGAATGCAAGACACTACACACTATACTGCTGCAGCATATTCACACACACATTTGCACAACCTGCTGGAAAAACCTACAAAACAAATCCATAACTGCTACAATAGTGATAGCCATGCTGGTGCCCTCCTCCCATCATCCTCAGTCAACATGGCCATATTTCTTTGGCAATCTTATTTATGGCTCTGAATTGCAAATCTGAAATGGAAGAAATGATGACATGGTACAATTACATGCTTATTTTCCAAATCAACCCACCATGAAAACAACCATAAGCAGAAAGAAAAACGAGCAAACCAAATTGCTCTGGATAACTTGAGCAAATCAGGTGAAGACACATTCTATAGATGGTGATAATCCACCCCTGGGGGGGGACGGGTCACTATTTCTTATGCCAATGTTGTGCCACCAGGGTAGAAATAGTAGAGCTTGGTCTTAACAAGGAGGGAAAAAGGAATTACTTGCCAGTGTACTTCACCTCATCTATGAACACCAAATCCAAGCCTGCTAGATCAGACCAAGTATCTGACTACTCCAACCTTCTGTTCACATAGTAGCCAACCAGCTGCTCACAGGATCTCACCAGAAGGATATGTGAAAAGCACCCTCTGACCAAGTTACCCAGCAACTGGTGTGCACAAGCATACTGCTTCTACTACTAGATTAGTTAGAGCAGAGATAGGGAACCTGAGGATCTCCAGATGTTGTCTACAACTCCCACCAGCCCTCGCCAAATCACACTATAGGCTGAAGCATCCAGACGGCCATACACTGCCAACTATACTAGAGGCAGGGATTAATAACCACAGCTTACAGCTACTGAATTGGGATATATCATTTTCCATCTATAATTGCAGCCATGGACTGGTAGTCACAGGCCTTGTTATAGCTGTTTCCAAGTGCAATTTTGAACATTCGTATTACCAGTGCTTTTTTTGTAAGAAAAAAGGTGCCGGAACTCATGAAATTATTTACCTTTCGCACATAGTCAATCACTATACACACACCCACACACATCAGTTGGGTAGTGAAACATAACGGTCACCACCCGCAGTAAGCACTCAGCACGCGAACACACGACCAATTACAAGCTGAGCAGCGCCACAAGCCAAGCAGCACCATCAAAACCAGCGCGGACGAAGTACGCATGCATCGGATTCGATACACAAGCAGCCCGCATGCACCATTTTAATGATTTTGCTGCCGACCTGCTACACTTGACAGGGCAATTCAAATCCACATGGACCAAACATCAAATTTTCAAAAGTTACTTTTAAAACTTGGAAAATCTGTCAAAAAAAGGTGCCAGAACGCCGTTCCGGTGCGTTCTATGACAAAAAAGCACTGGGTATTACCCTTTAATAACCTCCATGGCCCAAGACCATGGTTAAGGGCTACCAACTCTCACATGAACCTTCCTGAATGTTAAAATCCTTGAGAAATTAGGAGAGTAACTACTAGATAAGGAATTGTGGCTCATTTGAGGAAAGCTATTCCCAGAAAGAATTGCCTGGTTCTGAAGATTATGTCTTTTTCGTGCCATGTGAAGATCTTTTTATTTACATAACCCTTATACATCTTTTGGATCAGTTTTTATGCTGGTGTGCTTTTGTAATTTGGCTGTTTTGAGTTATTTTTGTGAAAAAATTGTAAGCTAACCCAGAACAGGATATTAAATGTTTACTTTTTTAAAAAATGAAAGGCTGACATTATGGGTCCAATTCCAGCCAATCTGGCAGCGCCATAGTGACCACGATCATCTGCTGTTTGCAAATTCCTTGGGTTCATGACCTGGGACAGCAATACCTGTTGGAGCACCTCTCTCAACTGCAATCTACTTGGACACTATACTCAGCTTCTGTGACTTTTCTCCAAGTGTCAACCCTGAAAGAGGCTTGGCAGGGAGGCAACAAGACTTTCCCTGTGGTAGCCCTCCCCAGTGCAGCTCACCTGGCACCAAGCCTGCCACCTTTTCAGTGTCAGGTTAAGACAACCCTTTATGCTGAGGCTTTTAAAGATGTTCTTGGTTACCCAGTGGCCTGTGATTATCCATGTGATTCTTCCTCTTTGCAGGGTAATTTTAATTGTATGTTTTAGCTATTTTAAGTTCATTTTCACGTCAATTTATTTTTATGATACTTGTACTGAACTGTATTGTTTTATGCACTGTTATAGACTGCTCAGAGAGCTTCAGCTGTGGGACGGCATAGATATGAAATTGATGATGAAGAGATGACTGAGGTTCAGCTGACTGAAGAGCATAGTGCTGAACAGCATGGCTATTGTGGGAAGTCAAAGGTGCCATAAATACACTGCTGCAGAGCCAGGAATGCACTTTCCCTCTATCACCACTGGATTACAAATGGACATATTGGGCAGGTTTGCACTAAACAACAAGCCACAGTTGTTTTTTGCACAGAATTTCTGGAGTGTTATCTGAAACCGATTGTGGTATTTCAGCACAGTATGCTTGGTTTTTAGAAACCACAATAAGAAATAATGTTCTGTTCTATGGTTGCCATGCTTTGCCATGGTTTCTCTAATCATCCAGACCTAGCACTGTAGTTTCCAAGGCCCTAGTATGCAGCTAGCACAGGCCAACTAGAAAGAGCTCTAGCCATCCAGTGTGCAACTGAATTTCAGGTGTGGTGGCTGATGGGCTATGTGCTAATAGGAGAAGGACTGAGTGAGGAGGGAGGAAACTATGCTGTTGCAGGAACCACTTGATCATCAGTTAGGCACATCCAGGCCAAAACCAAAAAAAGGACACCAAGGAAACCACACAGTGGTGCTTATTGTGATGTGTGAACACAGCATACAGTATACAACAAGAGACAACATACAACTGACCAAAGGGAGGTGTGTGTGGGTTCACTTGCAAGTGCACTACTGTCTCATGGGACAGGAAAGGGGGGTTGTTATTGACACGGTGAGTATACATTGATTAGCCTACTGAATTGATAGTTGGGATTCTACATACATGTGCCACTGATAGAAGAGATGTTCCCATGAACTTCATTCACTGTTTTCCCTCCTTGGCAAACTACTCTGAATTTGTCCAATGTCAGCTAGGAACAACTGGTAGCTTCTTTATCCAGGACAATATACTTGACAATCTAAGGTGCTTCATTTTCAAATATGCATTTTTTTTTCAAAAGACTAAAGACTTTTCATATTAGCCAGCTAGAATACATATGAATATGGCTAAACCTAAAAAGGGAATCCTCCAATAAAAAAGGTTGTAATTATTATTAGGGCAGAACCATGAAACTACAAACAAAATGACAACCTCATCTCAAACTTGCCACTCCTCTTTCATAATATACAGTTCAAGTTGTCTTATATTGCTCAAAAGGCGTTTGGACATCCTTCTCAATGTCAGCTGATGATGTGGAATGGAGTCAGGGAATTGCTCCATTTAATGATATGAGATAAACTGACCTACATGTTGTGTGGAGGTGGAAAACAGACACTCACTCAATCTGGTGCTGCTTTTAAGGAAACTTTGTGTTCTGGATAAAATGCAGAATGAAGAAATAAGTTATGCAACCTGCAAATTATGAAAACAAATGGTGTCACCCAGCAAAACATTCCTCCCAATGAAATGTGTTACTTGATTTTCTTTTAATGCTATAATCCCTCTGCTCTATTAACCTATTTGAAGTTGATCAAGCAGAAGTGCATACTCAGAAACTCTTAACCCTTAAGGCAGGGATCCCCACTTCAACACTCACAGATACCTTCAATGGTACCTACAAAGTTCTCCACTCACTACCCACGTCATTTTTTTAAAAGACTTTGGAGTATTTTAACACAGGCTTCTCTCTCTCCCTTTCTAGCTTTGGCCATTCTCTCCCTCTACCTTTTCATATCACTATTTCCCTCAACCTCCCAGTTTTTAGCCTTGCTATTCTTTCCCATGGCCCACATCGCTAGTTGTTTTTTCCCCTCCGAAACTTGTAGTCTTGCTCTTTTGCTAACCTTCTGCACTCTGTCCCCTCTTGTTCTTGTAGTATTTCTCCCTACTCCCAACCTCTAACCTTGTTCTTTCTCTCCCCTCTAGTCCTTTGCCTTACTATTTCCCCCCTACTTCCAGCTTCTATCCTAACATTTTTCTCTCCTTCAGTCTCTTTAACTGACTTTTTACTAGTCAGGGCCCCCTGTAGCAGCCATTATGTGACAAGCCGCATCCCTGTGGGAGCCATTTTGTTGCAATGCCCACAGCAGTTTCTTAAATGCCCCTATGTGTCCATAATGGTTGGAGACCCCTGACTTAAGACATCATTTATCTATCATAAATGTTATTGGCAATGTATTCTTGGTTAACCACTGATCCAGCAAGGCATATGAAAAAGGTTCACATTGCTCCGTATTTTTAACAAAAACTCCAGGAATCAGCAGATACAAGGTAATTCATCAGAAATTGGCCAACTGTCCACCAGTATGACAACCCCCCCATTCATTTTTATTCTTTGAAAATACTTTCAGAATCTAAACAAAGGCTAGGCATAAAATGCTACTCTGCTATTTGTACAGTGCAGGAAATTGTATCAAACATACAACTGCATCTATAGTCTTTAAAAGCTGTACAGTGAAAAGTAATCTAACTGCTTCCAATTTAGCTATGCATATATAATGTGAGCAATCAAACTGTATTCATACAAAAACATATGAAAAAGGGAAATCCTGCAACAAAGAAACAATTCAAATGGTGTATTCTCACTTATTAAAGCTTGGTTGCTTCCAGTGCTCCCAAAGGGCTGCGCCTAGAGTGAGTGACACCTGTGATGCATTATAAATGTATCATTACCATTTAAATAGAACAAGAAAAGCTGTAGGGTAAAGTGGACAAAAAAGGCAATCCCTTAAAGCCAAACTAGGCTGACATTTCAGATGTGATCATCTTAATTTAGCAATTGGTTTACAAATTATTTGCCAATCTTTCATTCATCTGTGTCTACTTAGGACAGGACCTTCTGTGAATAATACTGAAGACAACACAATCTAATCCCTGCATAGTTTTCTGCAGTACTCTTTATTAGATCAATTATTAAGTGTGGTTTGCAATTATGTACTGCAACAGAGATGTAGTATTCAGGAAAGTGCAAGGAATTCTCTTTTTTCTGCTCTCACATTTTATTAGTTTGAGAACTAGTAGTACTTAACTAATTACATTAATTCTGACAGAAGATCTCAATAAAATGCTCTTTTATTTAAAATTATTTTATATTGCCCTTTGAGGCAAAGTTTACTGTTCAAACTTTTAAAATTACCTGTTTCCATTTATTCAAGTAATATGTTCTTGTGAACACACTGTAAGAGCACAAGAATAACAGGTATACAAATCCGCTTCCTGAGAAGCCCATCATTATTTTTTAAAAGCTAGTTTCTAGTCCTTATTTTAGTCAAGACAGGATTTTAAGATGCACTATATGGTGACAGGCAGAAAGGAAACATAAATTTTAGCAGAATTTCGCTAAACAGAGCAGAATTGTTCAGGATAAGCAAATATACAAGTGTTTAAAAACTAAGGATTTAAAGTATTTTTAACATATTCAGGCCAGGGAATTTAATTTTTCTTAGTGCATAGAACTTTTTCCTTCTAAGCCAGCACAGAGCATATATGGCCCTGCCTGTAACACTTTCCAGCACAAAGTCATAAATTCTATATGCTATGGATAAGACACAGAACAGATAAAAGGAGCATATATCTGCCTGTCTGTCTCTTATCACTGTGCATGCACTTGCCCAAATGCTTAATTGTGACTGCACAAATATTTTGCCCACCATGTAATTCACATATCTATCCAAACTGCTAGCTAGATGATAAAAATAAAACGGATATTTAAAAAGATGTTCCTGTTTTCAAAGCTTGCATGTTACTTATCCTTCACAAAATCTTTTGACTTATTCCAGAGAAGTCTAGGCCCCAAGTAGTCACAAATATAGTGAAGATTTATTTTTATCTTATGAAAGAAAAAGTGACACCATAAGACACTGAGAGCCAGTGATGTGGTGGTTAGAGGATCTGGGAGATCTGGATTCCAGTCCCTACTTGGCATGAAGCTGACTTTGAGCAATTCATTTTGAGCAATTCCAACCCAACCCAACCCACCTCACAGGGTTCTTGTGAGGATAAAATGGAGTTATGTGAGTCACTTTGGGTTCCTCACAAGAGGAAAAAGGCAGGATATAAATACAATGTAATAATAATAATACATATAAATGAAAGTCAACATGTTTGTAAATTTCAATGTGTGTAAAACAATATACCTCACTCTTGTGCCAGATATGATACAAAGCTTGAATTTAACTTTAATTATCTCAATTACATCATAATTCTATATGCAACAATGACAAGACAGGGTGGCATAACAATTAGACTACAGAGACCTACATTCAAATCTCTATTTTGGTCAGTTACACATGCACACATCTTCATTTATATTACAGGTTTGTAAAGATAAAATGCAAGACAATGCTGAGCTCCCTGGAGGAAGGGTGGGATAGAACACTGAGAAAAAACAAACAGAATGTTTCTGGGTATCTTCAGTCCCAACAGGAAAGCAGTTCAAGGCTCCTACCTAGAACGTGAACCTTGCTGCACTGAGTAGGGTACACATTATTTTCACGCAGGCCAGCCAATTTCTTGCTCTGCAGCACTGTGCAGAAAGACTCAAATCTAACCAGAACGTTTTATTGCTACAGATAAGGCAAGCAGTATAACATGAGGAGTTTATCAAAGTGCAATTCTTTACTTTTTGCAACTTTGTTCCTCTCTCCCAGCAACTGACTCCTTGAACAATCAACAGGACTGCAGCATTAAGTTTACAATCTCTTGGTCATATTCTAGCATTGATCTCTCCCTCCCTCCCTCCCTCCCTCCCTCCCTCCCTCTGTGCGCACGCGCGCGTGTGTGTGTGTGGGGGGGACATCTCCAAGACCTGCTTGTTAGCTTACCAGTAGAATGTTTAACAAGGCAGAGAAAGTGTTTTAATCTCAGTTTCATAAATTGCATTGGAAAATGTTAACAGTATAGGAACAAGTTAAATAAATGATTCCAGCAACTAATTTCCACCACACCAGTCATCCAGAACAGTTTAAAATTACTTATTTGGCCTAAATATCATCCAGTTCATGCACAATCCAGAAGTTTTGAAATTCTCATATGTGAGAGCCAAGGGCTTTGGCCAATCTCTTTACCTGAAAAGCCAGCAAATGACTCAAGAACAAGCCATGGGATCTTAATCTAGCTTGCTGGGAAAGAAAACCAAGTTCCTGGCTAGTTTTAAAATACGTGGCTTACTTGGCTGCTCCTACTGCACCCATACAATCCCTCAATCACACACACACACACACAAAACCCTAGCTAGAGGTGCAAACTTAGTCACTGAATTGACAAACTTTAGATACAAATAAATATACATACCATATTTTTTGCGTATCTCATCATGCTTCATTTTTCTTTCAAGTTTCCTGCAAAGTTTATGAACAACAGGGAATATAAGCAATTTGTTGAAGAAGGTAACTGTAAATGAAATATGAAAAACCTGTACATCCAGCTTATGCATATCCAATAGAGCATAAACATACTAAGAGACACAGCCATGCTTCAATATAAACTCAGCATCAACAGATCCAAGACCTGGCTGCATCAATGCACTACAATTTGCAGTTTATAAAAATGCAGCAGTGTGATTCATAGAATCATAGAAAAATAGAGTTGGAAGTGGCCATTGGGCCATTCGGTCCGACCCCTGCTCAGTGCCGGATTCCAAGTTAAATGATCCTTCTCAAATGGCTGTTCAGTTGCATCTTGAATGTCTCCACAGCGGAAGAGCCCACAACCTCCCTAGGTAATTGGTTTCGTTGCCATACTGCTCTAAAAGGCAGGACATTCTTCCTGATGTTCTTCCTGATGCTGACTTCCTGTTACTTGAGGCCACTACTGCACTTGATCTTGGCCTTCCTCTTTGTAATAACCAAGTACTTGAGGAGTGCTATCGTATCTCCCCCTCAATCTTATCTTCTTGAGGTTAAACATGCCCAGTTCTTTCAATTTCTCCTCACAGGGCTTTCAGTCCCTAGATAAGTGGTGGTGAACCTACGGCACCCATGCCACAGCGGGCATGCAGAGCCCTCTCTGACTGCACACGAGCCAAGTCGCCCCAGCATCACCCCAGCAGCCGAGCATTGGATAACAGCACACATAGAGGCCATGAGCATGCTCAGAAAGGAGTAGTGGTGCCAGGCAATGATGTCATGAGCCATGACTCATTAGCCATGACTCACATGAGGTTTTGCATGGACGGTCAGTGCGCTGCCAAGGATATATATATATTTGCTTGAACTGGCTGTGAGTTGTTTTTTCTAAAGAAAAGCCTCAGTTTTCAGGTTTGATTGCAGTGTTGGCACTTTGCAATAAATAAGTGGGTTTTGGGTTGCCGTTTGGGCACTCAGTCTCTAAAAGGTTCACCATCACTGGGTTAGGGTTAGAAAAACGAGGTGTCCTGGTATGGTTTTGATGGTTGGAATGTGTTTAGAATGGGCAGAAATGATGAGCTGTGCAGAAAAAGCTACTCAAGGAAGGCTTTCTCAAAATCCCTCTCTTTTCAATTAAACTTTATCCATATATTAGGGTTAGGGGTGTGTTCCAGGGCAGGATTACGGCAGTGGTGGTGAACCTATGGCACACATGCCACAGTGGGCATGCAGAGGCCTCTCTGTCAGCACGCGAGCCAAGTCACCCCAGCATCGCTCCATCAGCCGAGCATAAGGTAGCAGTGCACACAGGCGCCATGTGCATGCTTGGAAAGGAGTAGCGGCGCCAGGCAATGACATCACGAGCCATGACTCATGAGCCACAACTCGTCTGAGCTTTCACATGGACGGTCAGTGCACTGCCAAGGATAGATGGATGGATAGATATTTGCTTGGACTGGCTGTGAGTTTTTTCTAAACTAAAACCTCAGTTTTCAGGTTTTATTGTAGTGTTGGCACTTTGCGATAAATAAGTGGGTTTTGGGTTGCAGTTTGGAGACTCGGTCTTTAAAAGGTTCACCATCACTGCCCTAGATCATTCTTGTTGCTTTCCTCTGAACCTCTTCCAGCTTGTCTGCATCTTTCTTAAACTGTGCTGCCCATAACTAGACACAGCACTCGAGATAAGGCCTGACCTGTGCTGAGTAAAGGGGAACCTTCACATGATTTGGAAGTGATACTTCTATTAATGCCGCCTAAAATAGCATTTGCCCTTTTTGCAGCCACATCTTACTGTTGACTTATATTCAGCTTTTGAGCTACAATTCCAAGATTCTTCTCACTTGCAGTATGTTGAGCCAAGTATTCCCCATATTGAAATGAATACATCTACAATGTCAGCTACAAAGTAACACCCGAATCAATCCTAACTTAAGACATGCTTTTCTTCTCAAAACTGTATGGGTTTCCAATGAAAAAGGTATGCATACTGAATAAGCATACTTTTATTCTAGCATATGGAATAGCTTGTACGATAAAGGCCTTTTTTAAGAAGCCAAAAACAGGTAACTGCTGGAAAGACACCAGGAGATTGAATAAGTTTTAGTAAATAGGCAGATGCTTGGAGAGCAGAAGACTCAAGAGGCTTTCTCTTAATCTCAGGCTACAAATGTCTACAGACCAGAAGGCCCAAGCCGAATAGGGCAGCAACTGATCAAAAATGATGCCCACTAGCACACAAGGACAAGGTATGAGAAACATGGCACAAAAATCAATGAATGCTTACCAAATTCCAAGTTAAATCTCCTTAACATTACTGAAAAATGGCTTTAAACAACAAAAGGGATGCGCCCATATGCTGACACCTTTGAGATCCATCTACTTGTACTAAAGCAATATGAGGAAAAGAACATCAACTGAACAATCCTTTGATGAGTTCATAGTTCAGAGGAGCCGGGATATGCTGAAATTAAGCTTTTGTGGTTAGCATAAAAATTAAATAAATTAAAATATTTTAATCTCCCTATTCATCTATCCAGAGCTCAAATGGCAAAAGAACAGCAGGCTAAAGAAGTGAGATTAGCTTCTTTAAAGTAACCCATAATGCACAGATTTTACTTTTTCCCTCTAGAAGTTAGATGACTTCTAACTCAGTCTTCCTTTTAAAGTCAATGATGCTATATTTATCCTTTCTACATTCTGCCAATACCACCTAGAATCTTACTGTTTCTTCAGCCATTTGTAATATTTCCCTCTCAGACTCATAAACAGAAAGTCTGAGGAAAAGTGACTGGGCACACACAGATATTATTTCCATGGGACAAATGTGGTGGCTGCTAGTAACTCAACAGGGGGGCTTTAATGTGTTTAAACTAGGGTAGAGAATTGTCTTTTTCTCCCAAGACCCATCAGCCTAAGGAAAAAGATCAACCATGGGCCTCAAGTATTAATTATTGTTAATTAATAATTATTGTTAATTCTTAACTAAATAATAAGTGCATTAAGTATAATGTATTGGGATACCTAGAAAGATTAACCTGACTTTGCCAACTGTTCAAGTTCCAGCTTCACAGACTAGGAAAGATCCACTAGCAGAACCATAGAAGGAAGCAGGTGAAGATATCCCAGATCCTTTTGCTAGGGAATGTGCATTTTTAAAGATTTCCGACATTGTTCGAAACAGAAGAGGCCACCACTCTCTGGACTCTGTGAAAGCAGGCTGCTGCCCTATTGATTTATTTATACTTCAAATACTTTTTGGCTACCTTTCAGGGTAAAACCCCTACCACGGTGACCTATAATCTGTAAAACACATAATAAAAACTGGTGTGGGGCACTCAAAAAATATAAATAGTAAGAACACAATAAAAATATCAGCAAGCAATCATACTTTCTAGTATGATCTAGAACTAGGCAAACTGGGTGGGAATTACTGTTTAGCTGCCTTACTGATATACATGTTTATAATGAAGTAAAGGTTTCCTATTAAATTTTGGCCAAAGTTGGGTGCCTAAGTTTTAATTACAGAAGAAACAGAGATGTGGGGAGGCTCTTTTAGAGAGAAAGCTTTGAGCGTTGCTAAAACAAAGCAAGCCTTCTCAAACAGCCCCCTTCCCTTGTGCCCCTCTCTCACCACTTTGCGCAGCAGGAAAAAAAATGAGATAAGGTAGAATAAAGACAGAAAGTAGAGATGACAGGCTTCTACAACCCTGACCTGCAGATAAGGCCACCCTCCTCCCCTGCAGGAATAGGGGCTGGTTGTGTTGGCTGCTCACTGAAGATGTGCATAGTTTTGCTGGCTCTGCAGGTTTGGACCTCTTGTCCCACGCTGTGGCTTCTTCACTTTTTTTCACCTGTCTTTTCACATTTCATTCCCCTGTTGGTAAGCCTGGGCTGGTGCACACTGTCTCACTTCCCCCTAAGCACTACCAGGCTGTTTCCTGTTCCAGTGGCCTTGACCTCAGGAAGCTGTTTCACCCACCAGCGTGGGAGTGAAAACCCTGGAAATGTCAGAGCAGGGGAGACAAAATTCAATAGGGAGCTAAAACCTGCCCTCAGATGAGAGGCTTCCTATACATTTTAGACATTTAGCAGGAGGTCAAAAAGTTTGTTGGGATGTAATCAGGAAACAACCCACGCCACCCATCGCTGTTCTACAAGACTGCAAGAGAACTGCTGCAGAAGACATCTCTGACAGACTTCCATTTATTTTTCATTTAAATAGTATTTGATTGGATCTCTATTTTACAGATTCTATAGGTTTTGGTGAGTTTTAAATTGTGCATTACTCTTGATACCATAAGGTACAGAGTAAATAATAATAATGCGGAAAAGATCACTGTTGCTTTATATATTGTTTTGTGTAAAATATTAACTCTTGTGAAGATTGGATTCCTGCTTCAGGGATGCAGCAGAGGTACAAATAACAAAACGAAGTCACATCAGAACAGAAAATCTTGTTGACGGGAAGGTATTTAACAGACTGGTCAGCAAGGACTGGCCTGGAACTGCTGCATTTCATTCTGCTGCCTCTCCTCCACCTCTGGCTAGAAGCAGGTCTCAATAGCTGTTTCTTACCATCCTGCAAACTTGCTGTTTATTATTATTTTAGGGGCTCAATATCTCTAGCTGAACACCAGGATCAAAAAGCCTCATAAGCTCCATGTATGAGAGCCCTCTTGGAGCCAGTATTTCTTCAAACAAAATGCCTAATGTATGCGAAGAATGCACTGTTGAAATTAAAATTTCAAAACATACCGTTGAAGTTGCTGCAGCCTTTTTTCTTCTCGATCCCTGATAAAGCTTTCTTCTTCTTCAGCTACTCTTCTAAGAATGAGAAAACACCATCCTAGGTTGCAGAAGCTGTACACAAGAATTTATATTTTTTTTTGGGGGGGGTGCTTTAAATTTTAATAGTTTGCAACATCTGTGACAGATGTTCTATTAGTTATTTTTATCTATATTCACTCAAACTTGCAACACTCTTCCTTCCTAGACATACTAGAAAGCTTTGGCTGTCTGGCAGTATAGAAATGAAATGAAATAGTATTTTTTACTATATTCTACCCAAGACTTATTTGGAGCAATGCTATCGACTTCTGTTAAATTCATAATTTGTTCTAAGGTTTTGACTGAGATATATATATATATATATATATATATATATATATATATATATATGAAATACAGAAGAGAACATTAGCGGAATATCTTTATGAGACTTCTTTGCAAACAATGGACATCTATTACTTGTGCTTATGTGTTTAAATTTCTTTAATGCATTAATATTCTGGAGCTGTTTTCTTACCTGGAAGAGAGAAGTAGTGGCCATGCTACCAGAAGTGTAGACAATTGCTATCAATGTAAAATATCAGATTGGATGCACAGTATCTGTTCAATAGGAATGGGTACCATCCTTCTACTGACTAGCACAATAGACTATTTCATTCCTGCTTGCTTTCTCACGGAAGGGCAAGTATGAAATAACACTCTAGTCCAAATATGCTTCCTCCTAGCTTTTAACCTAACAGTATACTAACAGACATATCAATCCAATCTAGGCTGAAAGATAGAAGAGCTTGTGCCTGCTACTCCTATGAGTCTTTCAAGGCAAGAACACTGACATCCAGTGGATAAGGCAGGAAATGGATTCTGGAAGGAGCCCAAACACATGAAAATATGTTTCACAGAATTATCTGAAGGACATTCAGCATGTTCAGAGGATTGCAGCTCTACATGAATAAACTGTAAGATTTAGTTTTGGCACTGAATTTACATCTAACATGTAACTGTGTAGTCCTACCTCTGTCATAAATCCTTGCCCTTACAGTCAAACCACATGTGTCTGGTACAGTCTGTATGTTAAATATGTGTCATCCTGCTAGGAGCTACTTCCATCAAATACAAATTTAAGATGTTTATCCATAAAGCTATTAGTAGGGACTTGCAAGAGGAGCTTTCTTAGGAAAGATTACATAACATCATTTATCTTGCACAGTACTACAGTCCTCCTGCCTTATGCCTTCAAAAATATTAGCTTCATCAATGTGAATCACATGACTGATTTTCAAACAGGGGAAGCAAATGTTAGTCACTCAAAATGTTAAAAGAACCCTAGGAGTTTTAGAATGCCAAGGACATTGCTAGATGTAGAAAACTGTGGGTGTTCCATGGACTCTGAATGTTGACAGATTCCATGCATGTGAACCCTGAAGTACAAACATGCAAAAGCCAGCTAAGAAAGGACTTCTTGTGTACAAGTAAAACACTTCTTAACTGAATTCTCTTTTAAGTTAAACTATTAAAGCATTAAACCAGCAAAACTGAACTTTACAAAATTCTTATCACTAGGGCCTGCGAGTGTGTAATCACCTTCCTTCTGCAAGATTAGGTTTGACATATTCAGAAGCTCTACAACAAGTCAGCTTTACTCTAGAGCACCTATGGCATTTACTTAAATAAAAAGAAAAATCCACCTCCTTGACAGCCAGTTCCTGTGAGAGTCTGCCTGCCAGCTGAAATACCATTTCACTGACTCACATGCCTGAGTATTAAATATTGCTCAGCTATTGCTGGATGGATGTTATGCTCCTTGGGTTGGCATCTTCGCCATGCCATTAAATATATATGTATATTTTACCACTACACCTGGAGATGCAAATATTTGATTACTCCCATTTTCTTTGGATTTATATAAACAAATGTGCAGTATCTGTGAAAGTAGGTGAGTGAATACTTAGAATATTACTACCATTTAACATGAATGTTATATTTCTGGAATAGTTCAATTATGTATTTTGACATCTAAACAGTTTTAGTTAAACCGTATGGCAGACTTTAAATATCAGGATCTAACTTCATGTTTGATTAAACTATGATACTAAAATATTAATATGTGCAAGTAATAAGGTTAACTGAATATGTCACAGAAAGGAAAAATACCTGGCCTAACCACTTCATGGGAGGTCCATATCTGGAAACTGACACAAGGTTTGCTCAAGGCCATAAAAAGTGGGGCATTTATTACATTCATTTATGATATTAGGACCTTAAACCAGAGTTTCTTGAAGTTAGCAATGAACACTTGCATTACTTAACAGCCAGAATTGTGAAAGAACAGTGGGCAGAGGCAAAAATGTGTATATAACAATTCCGAGATAAGCACAGGATATCCCATACTTGTGTGTGCGGGAAGGATTTATGCAATGAAATACTTAAATAGCTGAAAGCACACCTGCTGCATACAATGGAAACAAGGAAAAAGAATGCAATATGGCTGACATCATAGAGAATGTAAATCTGGTCATGGATGGTGCCAGTTCCCTGCCTTGAATAGCATCTAGCACATGGCTAGTTTAAGTAAGTGTCAGCTAACAGTTTGCAACTACAGCTGTCATACCACAGACCACCACCCATCAGTTTGCCTTCTATTTAGGGACAATTATCTACTCTAGAAAAAGGCAGTATTTTGTGAATAAAAACAATTTGCAGTCCTTTCACAAAATACTATCATATACAAACAATTAGCCCAAGCTTCTATAACTACTTCATTTTATTGCATAGCGTTTTTTTTTTGCAGTCACTTTGTGAAAATATCCATTTGGAAATCTAGCTATGCAGAGGGGCCCCTAAACTCCCATGCAAAAAAGTACTCTTAAACAATCCTAGTAGCCTGGGTCAGGCAGACACTTACTCTCGTCTTGGATATCTATAGCTAGTCCCATCTTACTGCAGATGATCATAAAAATACTACATAATTAGACAGCAACATATGAAATCCATCTTTAGTGTACAACTTGGAGGATTTGGACGCATCTGACAGAGATTTCTATGAGTTCATTGCTTCTATGCTGTAAAGTCTAATGAATTTTGACCAGATGGTACACCTAATCTCCAAACACACACAGGCGGCCATCATGACAAAATTGGTTCATTCAGAAGAAAATGTTGCACGTTTCAAGCAAGTGGGCAACTGGAAGGCTGTTTTCAGTATAACCATCTGTCTTCAGTGGATAGCCTACTTGTAATATTTTCTTCTGCGCAGAAGTTAATAAATACAAATGTGGTAGTAACTTCATCAAGACACAGCATATAATCAATGCATGTGTTTGAAGTTAAGTACACTATATCCCTGGAAGTTATACAGACTGAAAGCACTGTATATTTTTACTCACAGAAATTAAACCTACACTGTGTTTAAATTATTTGAAAGATACTTGCCCAATATTTGTTTTCAAATACAGTTTTTCCTGACACAGATACAAATGCACATTATTTCCCCTACATCTTATTCAACAATATATGTTGGGCTTGATGAGTGTTAAAGGTTTTCTGGGACACTTTTTCTGGATGTACGGAAGCATGGTGGCACTGCACATGCTTTGCAAGTGCAATGTCTTAGGATTCCAAGGTGGCAGGGGGTGAAAGAAATGACTAGGTAACACCCCAGAGAACCCTGGGCTACATGGGCAAATAGCATGGCCTGACAGGAGCCAATGCCCTCTATTCTTTACAAGTGTGCTCTACTTGCAAACTAAATGTCGACAAGGAACAAATGCAGGCAGATTTTACAGCATATATTTAAAATAGCTGTTTTTGTTGTTAAACACTTTATATTTGGATCAAAATAAAGGTCCAAGGGCAGGTTCCCTCCCACTATTTCTACATTGAAAATTCCACCCAATGCTATTATTTGCCTCAGCTGGGATTGGGGTCAGAGATTGTGCCAAGAAAACAGGAAGGCAGATGTGTTTAATGCCCTCGGCCCAATCCACAGCTCCAATCTGGACTGGGTCTCCCTGTATTTTTTAATAAAGAGAGGTAGCCAGTTTAAGCATATTTCTGAATAATATGTTTAACATTACATCTAGGCTGATCTTTACATTTAAGGACAACTTTATTACAGATTACAGGTGATAAAGTCAGGGGGTATGGGAATACTGTATTAGACTGTATTTATGAATTGTTGTTCCCTGTCCAGAGAGCTTTGGGTAGTACAGAAATAAAATTAATAATATGTAATAAAAATCATAACAATGCAAAGTTATTAGGAAAAACTGTTTACCCTCTTCTAGAACAACATCTTCTAGAACAACATCTGCAGCAGCAGTAACAGCAGCAACACAGTATAACCAGTAGAAGGGAGCCTCCTACAACACCTATGGTGATGATGATGGCCTCAAAATTGACTGAAAATTAAAAGCATAACTTTAGCACAGGCATGTCATAGACAGGTGACAAAGAAATACAGCAAGAGAGGAATGCTTCAAAGACAGAAGAGTCCTCACAGCAGGGAGATCTAAAAGGATACCATTCCACTTAACTAGTACATCTTAATGGGAGGGATGGAATTTCCTTGTTTGATGGTGTTGATGGGTCTAACTTTATGAGATCTATCAATCTGGGGTAAAGATTCCACCTATCTATGTACAGCATGAGTTCTCAGCTTCTTACCTATAATAAGAGAATAAGTGTATATGTCTGGCTGGCTGCACCATTGACCCAAGGCTATGAAACCTAGACATCTGACACTTGGCATGCATACTAAGGGCAATGTGCAACTTTAAATAATTTTGTTTTAAAAACATGCTAACTTTAATTAATTTAAATGTGTCCATGTGCCTCATTAACATCCTTAGTTTCTAAGGATGGATCCTTTTTCTGGATCCTTTTCAGTCTGGCTTCAGACCCGGGTACAGTACTGAATCTGCCTTGGTCGCCCTGTACGATGACCTGTGCAGGGAGAAGGAGAGGGGGAGTGCATCCCTGTTGGTTCTTCTGGACCTCTCGGCGGCTTTCGATACCATCGACCATGGTATCCTTCTGGATAGGCTAGTGGGATTGGGGGTTGGAGGCACTGCTTTGCACTGGTTCCACTCCTATCTCAGTGGCGATTCCAGAAGGTAGTGCTGGGGGACCATGTCTCTACGTCATGGCAGCTATGCCATGGAGTACCACAGGGCTCCATTCTATCCCCTCTGCTATTTAACATCTATATGAAACCACTGGGAGAGGTCATCAGGAGGTGTGGGCTGCGGAATCATCAATACGCTGATGATACCCAGGTCTACCTCTCGTTTTCCACTAATCCAGGTGAGGCAGGGGCTGTGCTGAACCGGTGCTTGGCCGAGGTAATGGAATGGATGAGGGCCAATAAACTGAAACTCAACCCAGACAAGACGGAGGTCCTGTTGGTTGGCGGATCGGGCTTTGGAGAGGGTGGATTTGACCTGGTCCTGAATGGTGCAACACTCCCTCTTAGGGATAAGGTCCGCAGCTTAGGAGTACTCCTCGACCCGGAGCTTTCTTTGGAAACTCAGGTGACAGCGGTGGCAAGGAGCGCCTTCCTTCAGCTTCGGCTGATTAATCAGCTGCACCCCTACCTGGAGTACGACTGCCTGGCGACAGTGACACACGCGCTGGTGACTTCCTGCCTAGACTTCTGTAATGCGCTTTACGTGGGGCTTCCCCTGAAGACGGTCCGAACACTTCAATTGGTGCAAAATAGAGCTGCCAGGTTGCTGACGGGGACGGGGCGTTATGCTCACATGACTCCAGTCCTCCGTCAGCTTCACTGGCTTCCCATTGAAGCCCGGGCCCAATTCAAGGTGTTGATTATGACCTATAAAGCCCTAAACGGCTTGGGTCCTGGCTACCTGAACGAGCGCTTACGTCCGTATATGCCCGGCCGCCCTTTGAGATCTGCGGGAGAGTCCCTTCTCCGGGAACCCTCCATGAAAGAAATTAGGAGAGTAAGTACTCGGAGGAGGGCTTTCTCTGCGGTGGCGCCCAACCTATGGAATTCACTCCCCAAAGAGGTCCGCCTGGCACCGTCGTTACTGGTTTTTCGGCGCCAGGTAAAGACCTTTTTATTTAAACATCATTTTAATTGTTAAAACATATGATCTGGCCAGGGCAACTTCTTCTTCCTTCTCTTTTCTCCTCCTATATTATTTATTTACTTATTTTATACTGATAATTTTAATTTTATATTGTTATGTTTGTAACTCAGTGTATTTTTGTATTTAATGGTAATTTATTATGTTCTATTGTATTTCAATGTATTTTATTGTGTTGTAAGCCGCCCCGAGGCTTCGGCAAGGGGCGGCATAGAAATGTAATAATAATAATAATAATAATAATAATAATAATAATAATAATAATAATAGGGGAAGATATCCTTAGCTGTGTGGTCAAAACAGTTTGAAGCCACAAGAGGAGGCTAAGGAGAGAATTTTATGCCTGCCCCCTCTGTCTGCTATAAGGCAGCCCAAATCAGGGGGATGGAGTGAAAAACCCAAAATAAAAAGAAGCACTTCTTTGAAAAACAGAAACATCACCAGACAATTAGCTAAGCATAGTTCCTGAAAAGGACAAATGCAAAGTTTTAACTTTAGACCAAAATTCCATGTAGTAACTTCTCTAGATGGCATTGTTGAAAGAAACTGTTTAACTTTCTGTACTCAGCAAATATTTTGCCAAGATCTCTGAAAGATAGTTTAATGTCACTCAGTAAAATGAAATTCTGTTTGACATATTGCAATGCAGTTTGGAAATGGTTTCTCAAACTAGCCGTTTGTAGATGTAGCCATAATTTAATGGAAAATATAAAAAAGCCAGGCACATAGTAAGATCATACCTGCTTCCAAGAATGGAAGCTACTGCTTCTAGCATTTCAACTAATCAGTTTGTAAAGATACTAAATATTTTTAAATTATCATACAAGCACATTTAAACATACTAAAGTTATGTCAAAGAAAGCAACTAAGGTCATTCATGCAGGTGGGTTTGGAAAACACATTAACACACTGTGGCGCAAGTCATAAAATGAGAGTTAATTACCCACAGACTCACAAATGCCTGACTGACAATTGGCACACTGTAAGTCTGTACCCACCTGAGTCCCTCTGCAGCTATCCCAGGGGACACCACGGAATATGTCTTTTCTCCAATCCCTGTCACTGCACCAAGCCCTTTTAAGCTCCCAGCAGTGGCAGGAAGCAAGGATCACTTCAGCCAGTTATCCAGCTGTGGCAGGGAAAAACAGCCATCACGCCAGCCAGCTGTGGTGATCTCCAATCCCTGCCATGGTGAAGAATGTAATCACCATGTTATGGCTTATTACAGTAGAAGTAAATGTGTATTTAACATATTTACGATCAGTACCTACCCCAGCAGACTGCCCAGTAGGACTCTGAGAGTGCACATACTGAGGATGGTGGAATGAGTTGGCTCACAGGATAGTCCACACATGTGGAATTTTCATGGCACCAAAGACACTACATGGAACAGAAAGGAAAAATAGACACAAATAATAAAAATGTTCATATCATGCATTTAACATCTGCATTTCTGGAAATGTTAACTGAGTTACTGTCTGCAGGACGAGAACCAGATACTGCTGCATGTTGGGCAAAATACAACTCTGAAAAATACCCCACCATCTATTTTTGAAGCAAAAGAAGACTATAACAGTTTGACTCTCAGACCAGCTACCTGCAGAACTGTTGAACTTAAAGAGTTCTAGACAGTATCATGACAGTAACTATGTTGTCCTATTAGAATTATTCTATAGATCCTAAGTGAAAACATGTCATGTTATTTCAGACAGCTAGCAATTTTATTATCTTTGGTTTCCTTGCTAACTGGCTTTCTTAAGTTAGCTACAGTCAACAGGTTCATATGCCACAACATGACAAGCCCACCTGCCTTATTTAAGTTGGAGGATTTATTGTGTCATGTGAACCTAACATAGTGTATTCACTCAACTTCTGAGCCAATAAACCACCCTAACAAGCCATGGCTTAGTCTAGGGTTTAGTACCCACCCATGGGCTTGCTGGGTCATTGAAGCTAGAATGACACAATAAACTCAGGGGTAGTCCAAACCACTACAGAGCTGTTTGGCAAGACAGTGAAAAAGGCTTGCTGCTCTTGCCAAGTGGCTCTGGAAAAGCACTGTTGACAGCCACTGCAAAGTCCCCGAAGTGCCGTGTATGGCCACGCCACACTGCTACCGATGTTGAAAGGGGAGATGGCATGACCACTGCTTAACCTGGCAAAGTAGGCTTGCTCGCTAGCATGCTTACTTTGCCAGGATTGGTAGTGGCTGGCCACAACTCCAGCCGATGTTCTGTGCAAGCAGCACCACCCCCAGGGCGCACTGATCAGCCAACTCGAGAGCAGGCCAAGTGGAGTGCTGCTCATGCCCTTCCCACCTTGCAGCACTGCTGCCAAGCCAAGACTAGCTCTCACTATGCCTTGTGAGATCTCCTGTCCAGTCAAGGTGAGGGCTGGCAGCAACTCCTGCAACACTTCTTGCCCCTACTGACAAGTGGTAGCAAGGAGAGGGGAAATTCCACATCGTGTTAATGCTGATAATATCCTCCATATTGCTTCTTATACCTCTTCAGTATGTTTATTTTCACAGAATTTGTATTGGACAATGAGTTTTCCAAAAATTCAGTATTTTTCCATTGGCACTGGCTGCACAAATTCAAATTAATTTATCTCCTTTTACAGCAGTACTTTATACTTCTAATTGTCTTGATCAAGTGCTGACATGCATTCCTCAATGACAACACTCACTGATGGTGTTGCAGCAGTTTCCACAGGTCATCCATCATCCTGTCATCATGTAACTTTAGGCACTGTCAGGGGTTTGGCCAATTCCAATATAATTTCTTTATCTCACTATAGTAACTTCAAAATATACCAGAAGATACTTCATTTCAAATTATGTGATCCGTAAAACAGGCATTTTTAATGAAATGCTTATGCAACTATAGTGACAGAATGTGGCAAACAGAGGTGTGTGTCAGCAATCATTGTAAAATCTTCTTCCCCTTCACTCCATTTCATGATTCCTCTCATTCATCAATGAGAGGATCATGCTCTTTCATCCATTTGCTCCTTCTACTACAAGCTGGTTCTACTCTGTTTATCTGCCACATTCTTGTTATTTCCTCTCTGTTCTGCTTTGTCTTCGGAAGTTTAGCTCTTATTCAACCCAAAACTATAAAGAAAGACAGCAAAGGTATCCAAGAACTCTTACTCAAATGGTTTCTACCCAAGAGTAGAGTTCACATTGGTCTGAAACAATAAGACTATTCTTTTCCATAAACTACAGCTATTCAGCACAAAGAGACACCACTCTTCTGAGACCAAGCTTTAAAAATGCTGGGGCCATTATATTGCAATAATATAAACCAGTTTTTAAATGTGAACAGTACACAAACAAGATCAGGGCAAGTAAGGAAAATATTCAAAAGCTGCCCTTGAACAGTATCAGAGTAGAGTTTTGATAAGAAATAGAAAGAACTCTATGCAGGGCCTGTGCTAACAGATTAATATAGATGTGAATTCAATAAAATATATTCAACAGCCACAACAATTGCTCTTCTGTATTGAATTTAGAGGAATTCTGTAGCATTTTTGAAAAATACACCTTTCACTGTTTTCATAGTTAGTTTTTTACAAAGCCAAAGAACCGTAAGTAACATAAGCCATGGACTGATTTTTCATGTACACGACTCAGGCTCACATATTCCCCTCTTACCCTCAGGTACTCTTATTTCTTTATTTCCGTCCGTCCTTCCTTGCACATACTACAGCTTACACTTACATCCAAACTAGGAACACTACAGGGGTTTTTTTACAGCCTTTAAGCCTTGGACTAAATATAACAGCAAACATGGAAATTGAGTTCCAAAAGGAGAGAGAAAGAGGGAACATGAATCCAAGGCTTAGCATGAACCAAGTATTGTACAAATTTACTATGAACCAAGTTAGTATTGCCAGCACATGAACTGGTCATGAGAAGTAGCCGTCTCCCTTCAGTTATCATGCTATTTTTTTCCTTACAACTCAGAAGGTTCAGCAATAAGCATAAAGCTCCATTACTGCTACTGTTTGATAAAAATAACTTTATGATACTATCCTAACTTTATGAAACTATCCTCTTTTTTAGAAATATCATGCAATTTTACAGCTGTGGATGTTTAATCTATTGGATGTTGAATAGAAGCAGTTGAAATAGAGCATAGTGACTGCCATGGTACCACTGAGGGGGCACAAGCTGATCCAGGATATTGTGTGAGACACAGTGGATATGAGTAACCATTACTGAACCAGCAAGAACCACAGGGTAGTATAGCAATGTCTGGGAGGGGATGTATAGCAGGGATGAGAACAACCAAGAATAACTCACCAATATGGCAACATAAAGGCATTACAGCATCAGCAACCATGCAAGGATTCTAAGGTGGCTATATTATGAACAGGCAAGATACCAGAAAAGACTTGTCTTAATTAAGTGCTTTAGGCATGGTGAGTTGTTCTGTGTCAGAGAACATTATGAAATGGAATCCAACTACTTATAAAGTAAACATAATATTTTTAACTGATGACATTGAGAAGTTGCCACAACATAGGGTTATGTTTTCTTCAGGCCTGTTGCTAATACTATAAGTTGCACTCTACTCTGCTTTTAAGCAGGTTTGTAAACATTTCTATTCTGTACACAGCTGTTAGCTGTAAAGATACAATCAAGGCTGCAGTTTTATCCTGCAGAAGTCCCATCTCCAAATCTGTTGGATAAAGGGACTGAATATTAGACAAAGTTATCTGAAGACAAGGAAGGTAACAAAACTTTTTAAAAACAGCTTTTTCAAAGACTCCTGATAACATCGCAGTTTTACTGGACAAATTTCTTTTTGCTATGACTGTTTCATTCTGATTTTTTCCTTTTAATGCTTTACTATTATACTAAAGCTTGCAAAACATATTCTACCACCACACCTGCATGGAATGACCTAGCTCAAATAACAATGACTTTAGCATAATTTATGAAATCACTTAAGTTTTCTCCGACAAAATATAAATATGGCACAACTTACTTTAGTATCTTTTACACATTCTTCACAAGTCTTTTTGGTAAAAGTGGCACAAGCTGAAAAGGAATGAAGTTTTACATAAAAAATGAAGAGCTTTTAAATTGAATCTTTGATTTGTTCCAACAGAGCAGTAAGAACATACAACCACTGGTATTTTGAATCAAATGCTGTCTGATTCTAAACAATGTCCAAACATTTTAGAATGTATCAGGGAAGAAGAAATCCCTTAAATAACCTCATTCTTCTGTCTGTCTACTCTCTTAGTTAATGTTCAGGTTTATCAGCATTTATCAATACAAAAACTAATCCACCTTCTTAGAACAATAATACTGGAGCATAGCAGAAACATAGGAGGAACCCAACAAGATTCTTCCCACAACCTCTTAAGATGATCTTAATACTGTTACCTAACCTTGTTGCTTAGAAAAAATGGACTTGCCAGCCACCTTGGACACTATTTCCTTGGTGGAAAAGTGAGTATGTCTCAAATTAATAAGTGCTCAAAACTAAAATCTTAATCTATGCTAAAGTACATATCCTCAATAATTCAGGGTGACAATACTGAAGTGGCAACTAGAAAAAAATGAGATGCTGCTATTTCAGTAATGTTTGTCTTGTTACATGTTATACCTGATTAGCAAAATTCCCTTTGAGCAACAATTCTCAAGCTACTTGACAGGGAACAGTCTTAAAGTACAAGCATCCTATGATTGTTTACATGGGTGTAAACACTACTGAAGTATTCTTCCCAAATAACTATGTTTATAATGTTTGCTTAGATGGGTCATTTAAAACACTATTAAAACCTATTTACATGCTACATTTATATTTACATGCTACAGCTTCTTCAGAATATTGTAATCCAATGTATGCAGCATTGGATTTAAATGCATATGTCAGATGACAAAGATGCCCTTTTTAAAATGGTTATCTGTCTTTCTCCCATCAGAACTAACAGCAGCTTCAGGCAACAGTTTAAATCTGAAATCTGTGCACTGAATTACACATGCACATGTAAGGTAGATGGTTTAAACATTCTTTCCCCATCTCAGATCCAATCTGGGGTCTATCATGACTGTTGTTAAGCCTTAATAAATAAAACAGGAGAATTAAATCACAGATCTCCCACATCATACCTAGCTTGATACAATTACCTTTGAGGAAATATTTATTTCTCTGATGCACTGCCTCAGATCAAATAAATCAAACAGCTTCTTCAAGAGTTTGAGCTAAACTACCCTCTTACACAGCGGCACAGTCTCCATACATGGAGGCAGAAGAGTTGCAAAAGATGACAGGATGGAAAAAGAAACATAGTATAAAAGAATCCTGCAGATCTTGTTAGAAACAGGCCCATAATCAGGGAAATCCTAAACCATTAATCACGATCCCATGGGGATCACTGAAAAGGAAGAGCAAACTTCAACATATTGTACACTCACATTTCCTTATTTTGAGGCTGTAACAGACTGAGGGTGTATGTAGAAGCCAGTTGGGAAAACAGAGCATTGGGGTAGGAACTGGGCAAGAAGACTTCTAGGTCATGGTGAAGCACAAGCATACACAAGACTAGAACAAGGTTGAATCGAACAATCCCACATATTTAAGATGATTGTTTGGGTCTTTAGGCCAGGACCGCTCATGGCACAAGTCATGCGTTCATTTCTAAATAACCTACAAATGCCTTGCCAGAAAAAAAGTTTCTCCGCCTCTGCTTTAATCAGTCTTCTTTACGATACCGTTATAGCAACCTCTCTCAACCTGGTGCCCTTGCAGATGCTTTGAACAACTCCCACCATTTCTGACTATTAGTCGTGCTGACTGGGGCTGATGGGAGGTGAAGTCTAAAAACCTCGAGGGTAGTACCAAGTGAGGGAAGGAAACTAGCTTGTTCGCGTAGGGGTTGGAGAAACGCAGCTTTGCGCCCGAAAGACCCAGTTGTCGGAAACAGACCAAGGACGGAACCGAAGGACTCCATCCCTCTTAAGTCAAGGAGGGGCCTTCCCGGGAAAGGGACGGCACCGAGCAGAGCCTACGCTCCCGCCCCGCGTCTGCCCCTTGCTTACACACGGCGGGAGCCGGCGAAGGCGACACGGTGGACTCCATTCCCATCGCCAGGCACTCCCAAAGTAAGACGCAGCAGGGCAGCCAGAGCGCCCAGAGCCGCTCCCGAAACCACCGCCCGGCCGCTGCCCCCTCCATCGCGCCTTCCTCCCGCAGCAGGCCCGCGCAGCCCCTTCAACTTCGGCGCACTTCGGGATCAGAAGGACAACCCCGCACAAGCGCACTCCAGGCGGCTCCGACCAATTAGCCGGCAGCAACAACTCCCGCATCGCCCACCAGCGTCTCCGCCACCAATAGCAGCCAAGCAGAGCCACGCCTCCCGCCGCTTTTCGTCCCTTGACGCTCCGCCTTCGGAAATCGAAGCTTCTGCGCCGCTGTTCCGCCGCAGCGCGGGTTCACTAGGGCGGGGAGCATCGGCACGCACTTTAGACCCATTTCGTGTTTTGCCTCAGTGCCAAGGAAGGCCATTCCTGGTTTGAGAAACTGAAATAGTGTTTCATTTATTTGGGTATTTGTAACCCGTGCTACATCAAAAGATAGTAGGATAGTGAACAAGCACTATCATAATAGGAGAATAATAAAACTAGTAGGCTCAACCCCCCACCTAACAGCCAGAGGGTTCCAGGTAGTCTTGTCAACTCCCCCCCCCCCCGGGCCTGACGGTGCTGCTGCTTAATGCCAGGTCGGTCCACAATAAATCGTCCCTCATCCATGACCTGATTGTGGATGAGGGGGCCGACCTGGCTTGCATAACAGAGACCTGGACGGGGGTGGGGATGTCGCCCTCTCTCAACTGTGCCCGACCGGGTATCTGGTTCAGCACCGTCCATGCCTGGAGGGGAGGGGAGGGGGGGTTGCTTTGGTTTTCCGAGCCTCCATCTCCCTCATGGGGCTTCCAGTCCCTTCGAGGCCCTGGCTAGAGTGCCTCTACTTGGTGCTGAGCGATCGAGACAGATTGGGGATTCTGTTGGTGTACCGTGCACCCTTCTGCCCAACAGTCTCCCTGCCTGAGCTGATGGAGATCGTCTCGGACCTGGTGTTGAGGACCCCCAGGATGTTGGTCCTGGGAGACTTCAATCTCCACGCCGAGACTGGTCTGACTGGTGCAGCTCAGGACTTCATGGCCTCCATGACGGCCATGGGGCTGTCTCAACATGTCACAGGCCTGACCCATGAACATGGACACACTCTGGACCTGGTTTTCTCGACGGGGCAGGAAGAGGGTGGTCTGAGGGTGAGGAATTTGTGTCTGACACGCTTGTCATGGTAAGATCACTTCCTCGTGAGGTTTGTGCTTGAGAACGGCCTTTCCCTCTGTAAGGGTGTGGGCCTGATTGTGTGGGTCCGCCCCCGGAGCCAGATGGATCCGGATGGATTCCTGAAGGCCCTGGGGGAGTTTTCGGCTGACAAGACTGGTGTTCCTGTTGAGGCTCTGGTCAAGCTATGGAATGGGGAAATGACCAGGGCTATTGACACGATCGCTCCTAAGCGTCCTGTCCCACCAGGCAGAGCCCACTCTTCCCCATGGTATACACCTGAATTGCAGGCGATGAAGCGGGTTGGGAGACGTCTAGAGCGTAGGTGGAGGAAATCACGGGATGAATCTGACAAAACACACTTAAGAGCCCATTATCGGGCCTATGCTGTGATGGTGAGGACGGCGAAAAAGAAATTCTTCTCCACTTCCATTGCCTCCTCACAATGCCGTCCGGCGGAGCTTTTTCGGGTGGTACAAGGGCTGGTTCATCCTGGCCCTCAGAAAGACCCGGTAACACCCTCGCAGGCATGCTGTGATGACTTTGCCAAGCATTTCAGGGAGAAAGTCGCTCAGATTCGTCATGAGCTGGACTCCACTAGTGACTCAGAGGCTTCTGGGGAGATACCAATGTCGCCATCTGGTCCAAAATTGATGGATGACTTTCAGTTACTGCGGCCTGATGATGTGGACAAGGCGCTTGGACGAGTATGTTCCACCACTTGCCTATTGGACCCTTGCCCATCTTGGCTAATTAACAATGCCAAGCACGGGACAGGGACCTGGATCTTGGAAGTGGTTAACGCCTCACTGAGGGAGGGCCGGGTACCTGCCCCTTTAAAGGAGGTGGTGGTCCGACCAGTCCTGAAGAAGGCATCACTGGATCCAGAGATGGCCACTAATAGACCAGTGGCCAACATCCTGTTTTTGGGCAAGGTATTGGAGCAGGTGGTGGCGGGACAATTCCAAACACTCTTGGATGAAACTGATTATCTGGACCCATTTCAGCCTGGCTTCAGACCCGGGTACGGTACTGAATCTGCCTTGGTCGCCCTGTACGATGACCTGTGCAGGAAGAAAGACAGGGGGAGTGCGTCCCTGTTGGTTCTCCTGGACCTCTCAGCGGCTTTCGATACCATCGACCATGATATCCTTCTGGATAGGCTAGTGGGATTGGGAGTTGGAGGCACTGCTTTGCAGTGGTTCCACTCCTATCTCAGTGGCCGATTCCAGAAGGTAACGCTGGGGGACTATGGCTCTGCACCATGGCAACTATGCCATGGAGTACCGCAGGGATCCATTCTGTCCCCTTTGCTATTTAACATCTACATGAAACTGCTGGGAGAGGTCATCAGGAGGTGTGGGCTGCAGAATCACCAGTACGCTGATGATACCCAGCTCTACCTCTCGTTCTCTACCTATCCAGGTGAGGCAGTGGCTGTACTGAACCAGTGCCTGGCCGAGGTAATGGGCTGGATAAGGGCCAATAAACTGAAGCTCAGTCCAAACAAGACGGAGGTCCTGTTAGTTGGTGGATTGGGCTTCGGGGAAGGGGACCTGAACTTAGTCCTGAATGGGGTTGCACTCCCTCTTAGGGACAAGGTCCGCAGCTTGAGAGTGCTCCTCGACCCAGAGCTTTCACTGGAAGCTCAGGTGACAGTGGTGGTGAGGAGCACTTTTTCAGCTTCAGCTGATTCATCAGCTGCGTCCCTACCTGGAGAACACGTGTTGGTGACTTCCCGACTTGACTTCTGTAACGCGCTCTACGTGGGGCTGCCCTTGAAGATGGTCCAGATACTTCAATCGGTTCAAAATAGAGCTGCCAGGCTGCTGATGGGGACTGGGCGTTATGTTCACATGATTCCAGTTCTCCGTCAGCTTCACTGGCTCCCCATTGAAGCCTGGGCCCAATTCAAGGTGTTGGTTATGTCCTATAAAGCCCTTAATGGCTTGGGTCCTGGTTACCTAAAGGAGCGCTTATGTCCATATGTGCCCACCTGCCTCTTGAGATCAGCGGGAGAGGCCCTTCTCCAGGAACCCTCCATGAAGGATATTAGGAAGGTATGTACTCGGAGGAGGGCTTTCTCTGTGGTGGTGCCCAATCTATGGAATGCGCTCCCCAGAGAGGTCCGCCTGGCGCCATCGTTATTTGTTTTTTGACGCCAGGTGAAGACCTTTTTATTTAAATGCCATTTTTATTGTTGATATTATTTATTTATTTTATTTTTATGGCCAGGATGTCTCCAATTATATTATATTGTTTTATATTGTTATTATTTATTGTTGTAAGCCGCCCCAAGGCTTCAGCGAATGGGGTGACATAGAAGCTTTCTAAATAAATAATAATAAATAAATAAATAACATAGGTTTTTCGGACTACGGCTCCTATCATCCTCAGATCATGTGGCCAATGGCCAAGAATTATGGAACTTGGTTGAAACCATGTGGAAGGCGACCAGGTTGCATCTAATTAGAGTAAAACGCCTGGAGAAATGGAAAAGCTCACTGCAAGGTAAACTGGGTGCCACAAGAGGGTTCGTTTGTTAATAGTCATGCCAGTAGGAAGTACTTTGATAATGGTCTCCGCTGTAGGATGCTGGAAATTTGGTAGATGGAGAGATATTCCATTGGGTACTTGGGCCTTAAACTTTTTGGAACTTCGAAGATTAAACACTGGTTCCTTCCGGTGCCCAGAAGCAAACAGACAAGCAGACAACCCTTGGGATATGATCCCATGTGGCTGCTCCAGTTAACATTTACCAACCACATTCTGCATTAGTTGAGACTTTGAAGACATCTTCAAGAGTAGTCACATGCACAGTACATTAGAATGCTATCTTCAAGGTAGAAGATTGCCAGAACAGTGTGGCAAACGAAGTGCAGCTGGCAAAAATACTCTTCACATTTGCTGGATCTAGGGGTACATTTGCTAGATCTAGGGGTACCACACACTGCTTTTTCAAAGGGATGCAAGTCTTTCTAGAATAGGCTTATTCCCACGTGTGAGGACCATACATACCCTCAGGGACTCTGATGTGTTGGGATTCAATTTTAATCCCACATCCAGCGCATCACCGAGGGCAGAGACCAGCACTGATACAGCCTTTCCAGACTCAGATGATAGAGAAATGGAGCAGGGTACCATTGGCATGATGTCTCACTTCAAATTCCTAGATGACCTCAATGCCTTTACAGAACTATTAAAAAGCTTAGGGGAAAAGACTTAGCTCTCCCAATAATCTCCTTATTTTTCTCAATAGTTTTTTTTAACACCTTCCAAACAAAGTAAAAAATCCCCATTTTGCTCTTGGCTCCCAAGCAGATAGGCCAGCCCAGCTGTCTCTCCTTCAGTTACACAACTATTCATTAAGACCATTTCTGTTCTCGCCTTTCTCCACCTCCAACTAAAAGAGAATAAATGCCTTTTTTCCTTTAATAGGCAACAGCTAGTCAGGCACTAGGGCTGCCATTAGCCAGCCTGACTCATGCCTCATCAAGAAGCTGAACCTCATGCCCCAGCTTCATAGCAAAAATATGGTCCAGTAAAACAGAAATTTATTTTTACTAGGGGGCTGAAGAGGAGGTTTAACATTTT